TTCTTCTTTTTTTTGCTTTATTTTTTTGAATTTCTATGCTTACCAGAAAGATAACGATGTGTACTTTCTAAAACAGTAATAAAATAAGCCAGTTGACATTGAAAAAAATAAATAAAAATTCGAAAACGAATAACGTCATAAATGTCACTAGTGTCAAAATGTAGCATTTAAAAAAATAAAATCGACCTTCTTGAGGAATTTTTTGAAAAATGATTCATAACAAAGATATGAATTTTATGCGTTATTATTTCTAAAGAAAGTTGTTAAAAAAGACAAAATTTTAAAGTGGGGCTCAGAATATTCAAAGTAGGGCTCAGCCCTACTTAGCCCCCCACTAGCTAAGGGCCTGATTTAATGTGATTCCAATTCTGTGTTGTAGATCTCTGCATACATCGAAGCTAAACAATTAAAGACAGCGTATTTCCTCGCTGTTAAGTACAAACGCACCGCTGATATTAGGAGGATTCAAAGGGAGGCCGAGTTGTTAAACATGCCAACAATTAAGGCACTATGTCAGAAAGTGCTCCAAAACTCGCCACACACTTCCAAAGACTAAGTTTCCTGAAAAATAAACCAGGCTGTGATGTTACCAAATCTATTTTTTTATTATTAGTAAGTAAATAAACTTCGAAAAAAGTGTTTGATACTCAGCAACCTAATATCACAAATAAAATCATATTCTAGTTAAAAAAAAAACAAACAGATTAATCCTCCAAAACCCCCTCTCCGTTTTCCGAGATCCCATTTTGCAGTTCAGCGTTTAATTTATCGGCGAAACTCGAGTCAATTTCCTTGATTTGTTTCAAGAAGCTTTCTTTCTGGTCGGTGCTCCATTGTGAGAACCACTCGCGGAACAGTTTGACCTGCAATAAAGCCACAATAAGGGGGCCCCAGACGGCGAAAAGCGCACGCACCCTGCACTCGAACAGCGACATTGGCTTCTCCTGGCAGTTGACATTGGCGATGCTGTTGACAATCCCGTTGACGTAGGCCTTATTGGCGTACTTTTCCGCGAGGATGGGCAAAAAATCCGATCTTTGCAGGTCGCTCCACTCGTGGAACCACTGCACTAGATATCGGATTTGGGCGTCAGTGCTTAACATTTTGCAGTCTTTTGAGTCAGTCACTGGAACAAACACCTTCACTGTCGTCGGTTTCGCTACGACTACGGCTCACAAATGGGATTAGAAATAAAAGAGAAAGGTTATTATAGCATGACAGTGCAAAGCTATTGTTGACAATACTCCACATGCATTCTTGTCAACTGTGACCGATTTTACTTACGTGGGGGCGCGTACCACTATCGAATAACGCTATTATAACATTCTTATCATCAGGTACACTTTGCACTACTGTTACGGGAGGAAAACTTGTTTGAACGGTGAACCGTAATGACCTCGCACTTTTTAAACGCGACCTTGACCTGCCTTCACCGGCCGGTAAAACAGGCACCCAACCGAAAAATCACGCTTTGCGAATTTATAAATAATGCAGTGATTCCGAAAGGGAATAACACAACAAACAAAATGTGACCCTCTTTACCAAATAAATAAATTTTTGACAACTCAAACTCAAAAAAACACAAAAACGGGCAACACTCATCGCCAAAAACACAATAATCTAATCTCAAATGTCTTAAAATACTTACTTTTTTCCAAAAAACAAAGAATTTCACATTGCAAAATTTTCTTTTGAAAACAAACGACAAACCCGGCCGGTAAAACAGGCATCTAATAAATAAAATACTTTTTTAAATAAAAATTTAACTCGAGTTCAAAAAACGTAAAAAAGTATCACAGGCAACATTTATCGGCTAAACACTTAAACGTAATCTTCACTAACTTAATAAAAAAGTGTTAAACACCTACCTTTTTCCAGAAAACGAAGAATTTTACATTGCAAAAAATTTCCTTTAAAACTAAACGTCAGACTCGGCCGGTAAGACAGGCACCTAACCCATGCACCTAATAAAAATATTTTTTTAAGGTAAATAAACAAAGAAAAGCGTTTAAAGAAGGTTATTACATAACGCACTAACAACAGAGACACTTTTTACAAAGATAAAATTGATTTGTGATGCAACTTACACTTTTACAATAAAAACTAAACCAGGTTCGAAAACTTAATAAACGCACACAGGCAACACTCACTGGCAAAAACACATTACCCTTATCTCAACTATATTAATAAAAAGTTTTAAACACTTACTTACTTCCAAAAAAAAAAACATAAATTTCACATTGCAAAATTTTCTTTCAAAAACAAATGAACATCAAATGACAGACAGTAGCACCAATAGACCGGTAAAACAGGTACCGAATAAAGAAATTACTATTTTTTAATATTAATAAAGCAAAAACGTGTTTGGAAAAAGTAATTGCACAACAAAGCAGACGTAAAATGACCCGTTTTACGCGGGTTACGTTTCACACTTATTGTTATATTGTCATATTGTTTTATCGACAAAAAAATGTCAAAAAACAAAACGCAAAATTTTTACATTACAAATACATTACATTACACATATAAAGAGTTTTTGCCATTAAATAAGAAGATTTGCCTCAAATTTTACGTTCAAATAAAATGAACAATTCAGTGCTACCAACCCAAGTGTTATAAAATTGACAAAACAATATCGCAGAAAAATCAATTATTGTAATTTAATTAGAATTAATTTCACGTACGCTTTAATTAGGTCACTAGCGTAAGTCGATTTATTATTATTTTATTATAGTTATTGTTGTGTTAAATTTCCACTTGATGACATAATCATAACCTAACTTTGTAGCCCCAAATGTCGCTGTCCCCGGCCTTCAAATCGCCCTTCACCGACCTGACTGGGGCCCTGTTGAGCCACCAGTGGGGCGGCCGTTGCGCCGACATGGAACTCCGTGCCCTCGACTGTCTCGAAGCCTACGGTTTAGACAAGGGGATAAAAAAATGCGAGACCCTCATTACGGACTTCCAGGAGTGCGCCCTCCGCACTAAAGAGCTCGCCCGGTACTCCGCCATGAAGGCCGAGCGCGAGCGCCAGTACAAAGCCGGGGAGCGGACCAAGGAGGACCGCTACGCGGAGCCCCCACGTGTTGACGGTTACTAAATGTAAAAACTCGTAGTTGTAAATAAATGCATTGTTCGACATAAATAATCCAAGTTTATTTTGTACAAAATATGTAGAATACAATAATTATTAAAAAGACACCGATTTTGTGTGCATTTTGTGTTCAGCAGTGCGAATATATCATGCAATAAATTTAATACTGGTAATAATTCAAATTGGAAAGGTACAAAATGGTATAGTTCTAAAACGTAAGACTTGAAGGCAATTTACATTTATGTGTTTTCGTAGGGATGGGAAATCTTACATGAAAGCTGCAGCAGCTTGCGAGTGTCTTAATATTTACATGGTCCTTCCTGTTGTACTGAAAACCACCCAAATTAACGAAAATAAACGACTCGGGGTGGCTTTCAGCGGTTTCAGCCGCCGATTTAACACTAGTATCATAAGATCAGCAAATAACTCCAATCACATTAAATCACATTCATGAAAGGGTTTCCATTAGTTTATGAACACATTAAATTGACAATATTTTACAAATATAAGTATCAAACTTTATACATGTACAAGGCTCGCAAAGTGTGCACAGGGGATTACCAAAAATTATCCAACAAGGCCAAAACTTCGGTATTTTAGCCTCGTTGGGGCCCTTAATCCCTAATACACCCCTTGAGGATGAGTTTTGTACTTATGCTATATTTTTGTCGTAATATCCCTAAATGTCTAACATTCGATAAAGTTAATTTCTAAAAACCCGTGCCCAAGTCCCAAAAATCGCTCCACAAGGTAACAAGACCGCGAGACAACAAGAAAAATGTCTTGTTATGATCGATTTTTGGTAATTGTAAAGTTGAGATAAAAAATTTCATTATAGTGACTGTAAATACGATTGGCAACACTGACAAGATTTCAAATTTGTTGCCAACCTAACGACACAGTCATTGACAGTCACTACCACATCAACTTTTCAGTAGTTTTGATGATTTCCCGGGAAGTTATGAAAATTACTGAAAATGTGAGCATTTACGTAAAGCTAAAACCCATCCCTACAGAGTTCTTAGTCAATCCTGAAGCTTATATTTAATTTGTGCATTTGAATCCACTTGTTTGGCAAGTCGCTTTGATTGTGCCCCTACAGAGTGCTCCCGTGTCGCATCAGAGGCTTTTTTTCTACCATTTTGATCTTCGGTTCATTTCAAATTCGATTATAATATCACAATAAAATTTAAGGAATGGCAAACGGAATGTACAGTTTTTAATCAATCACGAGCCCTTCACATCCGTTCCATTCTAAACACTACATAATATAATAATAAGGCATAGACAAGTTAGCGTATATGTTAATAGTTCCAAATTTAAGTATCAAATAACCATTTTAACCAATTCAATAATTTGGCAGTTGCTCACTCGCTACTCTACTCAAACCAATAAAATTACTGCCTGAAACCGAAACCCCGTTAAAATGGTCACAAAACGCGAACAAATTAGATGATATGTGTGAGTAGTGGCTATGACTGGACTAAAATGTGCCAACGGCAAATCTGCTGCTGTTGGGACTCCTTCATGTCCATCCAGTGCGCCAACTCCTCGGCCCCACTGGAATTCAAACCGAGACTGAACCACCCAACCATTTCCTTCTTCTTTGTCACACCTTTCCGGTTGTAAACCGACACCATCAACGTCACGTCGGCGAGTTGGAACAGCGCCACCTGTCGAGAAGCATTCATCACAATCCAGCCTCAAATGTTTCAAATCTGACTTACAAACTACATTTATTTTCGTTTTCATATTAATGTACATTGAAGTAGTCGTTTAAGGTGGCAACCATGAAAAACTCAAATAATCTTCCCCGAAAATTATTTTTTCAAATAAATGTTACCCCAGATAGCACCAAATTTTTGTCATTATTGATGTGTGATTAAATTTGTTCTGAATGACATTAATGACACTGTGTGAATCGCCCTTTAAATTAAAGATGCATTTAGACTTTTACAACCTACTTGATGCGCATTAATATGAAAAAGAGTGTACTTTAAAAGTTATCCATAAAATTTAGGGAATTTAGTTTTCAGCAGTTGGTAGAAGCTCGATTTTATAACGAGATTTGACTAATTTTACGTAAAATATTGAATTGTATTTCCGGTTATTGAAACTCTAAAGCGTTTCAAAATGATTGACATCTCGGTAGGTCATGGAATTCAAATTTAAGGTGGCAACATTGAAGTTAGTCTATTCCACAATCTGTGTCATTAGTCGTTTTTAAGAGGTTTTTGTGTGTTTTCTCTCCAATTTTTTTATGATCTATTTGGACAAATAGATTTTGTTATTTTTTAGACAGAATTCAACTGAAATATGTCATTTTTATGAACTATTGCGATCTAAAGGATGTTTACATTAGTAACTTTTTTGGAACTAAAATTAACATTTTCAACACCTATTGACATGTCAATCATTGAAATGCATTATACAAAAATTTAAATAAAACTAGATAAAAATAAAGCAAATGATAAAGCCTTGCAAAAAAATTCAAAAATTATTTATCAAATTTAGAGGATTTAGTTTTCAAGGGTTGGTACATTTTTATACTCACAAAAAATATTCTAGCCAAATTTTTTTATAGAACCATTGTTCTTGACTAATTTTAGATGAGAATACGTTATTTTTATACTTTACGTCCAAATTTTTAAAATATTTCTTTATATTTTCGGTCGTTGAAACAATATCTAACCATAATTTCAAAATTGTAAGACAAACTACCAAAATCCAAATAAAACTGCATTAACAAAATCAATCCACTTATAACTGTGCATAAAAATAATGAAAATAATAAATAATAAATATCTGCTCAAAAAAGTTCAAAAATTATTTATGAAATGTAGAGGATTTAGTTTCCATAATCACAAAAAAATAACCCAAGCCGAAATTTTTTCTAGAATCAATGTCCTTGAC